CAGCTTTAAGCAGCTGCACGCGCTCCCGCGGACGGCAATCACTTTCTGGAAGACGATCACTTTTTGGCACAACACCTGGAGCTCAGGGGGACAAAACAATCGCATGAGTGCTGCTGTTTGACTGAGGAAGAATAAAGTAGTCCCGGTAAGCCAATCACATGACCACTTTAAGCTGACAAAGCAACAAGGTGATATATACCAGTTTTTAAATTGTGCAGATAGGCCACGTAAAACCAGAATCATGATAAACAATATATACGCGGCGTTTTTTCCTGAATAGTTTCGTCACGTTAACGTCTAAGGACAGCGCTGGCAAGAACTCTCTGCTTATGACCAAAAAATTTAAAAACGACACAAAAAACAGCCCGTTCGTGTTGGTGGAAAAATGTACCATGCCGACCAATCAAAAAATTATATTTGTTTAGGAAGAGGGTGAAGTTTTAGAAGTTTTAGGAGTGACAGCAAGAGAGAGAGAAAGAAAGACAGCAGAAAAAGAGAGAGAGCGTGTAGTTAATGTGTTGTCTTCAGTGTTGGTCAAGTTACTTGAAAAACGTAATCAGTAACTAATTACTGATTACTTCCCCCGTTACTTTACTAATTACTTATTTATGAAAGTAATTAGTTACTTAGTTACTTTTTAAAAACATGATTTATCCCCTAAATAGGTAATAAAGCAATAGATCTTTCAGCCCAATTCTACTTTTTCTGCATAATCCATCATAAAATGAAATCAAATGTCTCTTTTTAAAATTTGTTTTATTAGTTTTAATCTTTTAACTTTATGCATCAACCAAAAATTAAAGTACATGCAACATTCTCTGACTGGAAAAAAATTTGTTTAATATTTAAACCTTCCAGCACATAAAATAAAATAGGTTTTTGTATTTACACTCACTCTTTCAAATAGATGCAAGTAAAACACAGCAGAAAATAAATAAAATCAAAACCTCAGCGGCCCGTTGCTCTATTTTCACCTGTTTAACAGGAGTGGGGCAGGCGGAGGTTTGCCCTGGTGCAGGTGTGCTGCAGCCGTCATGTCAGTGGAAGGATACGGCAGTTTCTCTGTGAATTTCACATTCCTGTGGCAGGTTTAGTGTTTTTTTCTTCTGTAAAAAGAAGTTTTCTTCCAACACAGTGAACAGCACACCCTAATGTTTTTGTAACTTTTTACGGAATCAAACTCAGAGTAAGGTCAGTACTTCCACGCTTTAAACGCTGCACGGTCATACTCTCTCCAGCACTCCTTGGCTGTGTCCCAATTAAGAGACCGCACGCTTGGAGTACGCGCAGTACACGTACTATGGACAATGCAACAAGTACGGGAAGTGCGGAAGTGAGAGGCTGTGAAATGGGACGGTCTAGCCTTCGTTGCGCTGCTCAGGTTGCCTAGCAACCATGATACTAACCGTGAGAAACGTTTCATACAGCTTTGTGTGACAGAAATAAAGGAGAAAAAATGTTTTGTTGTTCATTCATGTTTTATGACATCACTGTGATTATTTGAGTATCTGAGGCTGAGACCACAGGACTGTAAAACATGATTGTTGGGCTTCATTTCTGTACTAAACAGTCATTTCAAGATTAGCTAGTAAATAACAATTAGCTAATGTTGTTCATGAGACTAAAGTCATCTCACTTTGGTAATGTAAATATAATATGGCCAATATTATATTATTGTCAGATTATTATGATATATTACAGCAGTGAGCTTGAACTCTGTGTCAAAGATTCAAGTTGCAGTTATTTATATTTCCTATCACCTTAAATCTTCACTCAAAGACAAGTATCTTTGACAGTGTATATATAGATGTATCATATATAAGAGACAAATATTGTTTGTTTAATTTGTTGGCATTATTACATTAGACTCAATGCTTACATATAAAAAGAAAATGTATGAGCTGTGAAAACTGTTTCTGATAAAATGAAGAGTAGACTGATATATGAAATATTCCTTTATTGGGTGAGAAAATCATACAATGTCATAACTGCTTTAAGTCACAACAGAATAGATATTAGAGCCTTAAACTGGCTGACTTCTGCTAAATGGGTCAAACTGGGCAGAAAGTCTACAAACACATAACATCCTTATAGAATATGATGTAACACTATAGATCAACTTACCTTGGAATATATAAAGCATATAAACAATTACAGCAATATGATGCAACAAACACAGCAGTAATACTAATCCAAAATACTCAAAGCTTCATAGAACTGAAACAAACATTTATTTTTAGCTCCATTATGCTGCTGATACATACTTTAGGTTTCTGAACATTAAACTTGTTGCTGCCTTTCATAGTGTGTAACTTGAAGGCCCTGAGTACTTTCTCCCACACTGAAAACACTGGGATGATCAAATTATTTGATCATTACCTAATAAGACTGATTCAGGACAGACAATTAGTTATTTTAAACTTTCCTAGCAGTCCTTCACAAACAGGGAACAGTCTGTCTATTCTCTCCATCTGTCAGCTGCTGCTGGCTCTTCCTCCTCCTCTTCCTCATCCTGACTTTCAGCTTGTTGTGTTTGTGGATATATGACTGACTTTAATTATCCATGAAATCATCACATTCTCTGTAGGATTAAGGCCGACTATTGAACGGCGTATATTTTACAGTAAAGGCTTTAAAACCAAGTTAGTAGAAACATCGCTAATGTTTGTAACTTTGCCGACATGTGGCCAACAGTAATGTTTTTATTATTAAACATTTGCACATAAATAAGTGACATAATATTCAGTACTTACTTTTGAAAGTTTACTCTTCGGCCGCCCCGCTTCTGCCATCTGCCGTATTTCTCTGCAAACTTATCCACACCCACCGCCGCGCTATGAATTGTGGGATATATGGGACCACGAAGCGTGCACTGGACCACGCTTGATATTTGGGGAAATCGACAGCGCATTTGGAGTACATTTCGAATTGGGACAGCCGTCGTCGCGGTGACGTAATAGGTCTCGAAATGCGCACTCCAAGCGTGCGGTCTCTGAATTGGGACACAGCCCTTATATTAGCTGTGTCCCAAAACGTCGGCTGCATCCTCCGGAGGCCGCATTTGAAGGCCGATTACGTCACAGCCAGGCGACGAAGGCTGTCCCAATTCGTTGACTCCTTCAAATGCGGCTGACAAATGCGTCCTTCATTTCCCCGAATTTGAAGGATGGGTCTGTCACTACCCGATCCGTACCGGAAACCCGATTGGAACCCTGCATGCGCAAAAGGTGTCTACTTCCGGTCGAAGCGTTTTATGATAGTTACGGGTCAGAGTATCTGTTAAGATGTTAAGAATAATAAGTATCTCTTAAAATGTTTCCAATAATGAAACATTTCAATATAATGGTCACTTGAGCCGGCGAGAGCAGCGGACTCCCGGCTTCATCGTTTTCAGACCCCCGCTCTTTCGCTACTCAGGTTAAACATGATATATAAGTCACTCGGATAACTTAAAAATGTAATTGTTTGCCTTTTTTCTGTGTTTTATTTGTTCCGGAGTAAATCGGTTTTGGCTGAGATTAAGTTATTAGATTATTAGATTAAATAAAACTTTATTAATCCATCGGGTGGGTTCCTCCGGGATTTTCACACAGCTGAATAAACGTCAAACAGAAAACTGATTAAACAGAAGTATGTCAAATACAGTATGTCAAAATGAAAACATAACTGTAAATTCAGACTCGTGAGGTTGTTCTGAAAAGGATGATACCAAACAAGGCAAAGTAAATAGTTTTTAAAGGTGAAATGTAGAGGGAAAATCAAAGTAACTTGCCCAACACTGTACTTTATATATGTCCAGATGAGACAATTTAAAAGAACACTCCACTCAAGTTATGTGAGTTTCGACCGTCTTCCTTATATCGTGAACATCGTTGCCCCTCCCTCTGTCAGACGTTTCTTTCTGTTAAAAGGGCGTTTTTCCTTCCCACTGTCGCCAAGTGCTTGCTCATAGGGTTTGATTGTTGGGGTTTTCTCTCTATCATTGTAGGGTTGTTAAAATATAAAGTGGCTCGACACAACTGTTGTTGTGAGCTGGTGCTACACAAATAAAATTAAACTGAAAGAATGTGAGCCTGGCTAGTTTGGGATTGCAGATATATGACCAGAAAACCTTTTAATGCATGTTAAAGTAAAGTTCCAGATTTTTCAGAGTAAAATCTTACCTCTAGGCAACTTTAAATGCTGGAGTAGAACAGGTGTTGAATCATTAATGCCGAGTGGAGTCTCTGATTATTACACAACTTTTCCTGATTTGTTCTTTTTTTTTAATTGGTTGAAATTTCTCATTCACATCAGGGATTTTTAGGAGTTTTTATGATTATGATCCTCGTGACATCAGAAACTCACTCACTGCCAATAACTAGCGCAACTTTCTTATTTTGCTTCCTCAGAGAGGAGGGAGTCCCCCCTCCACCTCCCCCCATAGTCATCAACAAGTACTCAGATGAGCACCTCAGAGCCATAATCATAAACATGAGAGAAAGAAAGCAGCTCTTCAAGGAGAAAGTGATTGATCAGTATGCTTCATCCCCTGAGATAACCCCTCCTGTCAGTGAGTGCCAACACAAAACCATTCAGTGCTGCAGATTTTCTAATACTTCTAACATCTGTGGATGTTATTGTTTTCATGGGGCAGTAAGGAAACTAATTCTTAATATTTAACTGTCGCTCACTCCGCCCCTTTATCCTTTCAGCGCCATTGCTACGCAAAGACGACTACAACAGAGTCATAGAGGAAAGGAAACAACAGGCAGAGGAGGCGCGGATAAAGAAGGAGGAGGCAGACAAGAAGAAAAAAGAGGAGCAGGAGAAGAAGAAAAAGGAGGATGCGCAAAAGAAAGCAGAACAAAAGACAGCAGAGGCCAAACAGCAGGAGGAGAAGAAGAGTATAAGAACCAGGATATCCGAGGCAATGTGGTCAGTGGTGGACACTGTGCTGAAGCCATTCGAGGACCTGATGGACTCTGTGTTTGGGCAAACCATAGACCCTTTCACGGACCGTCGCTACATTGCATGGCTAAGCTTGGTGACTGTGGCCATTAACTACAACACGTGGTTCATCACGGCCCGTCTGTGCTTCCCCTACCACACTGAGATCTCCATCCCTTACTGGTTCACCCTGGATGTGTTGGCTGACATCATATACCTGGTGGACTCTGTCATCTCCCAGCCCCGCAAACAGTTCGTCAAAGGAGGAGACATCATTGTAAGTGGGAAATGATCCTGACTGCTGACAGAGAATAACACTGGCCTGAATGACAAAGTCACTTTTATTCCCTTGCAGAAAGACAGAGTGATGACAAAGAAGCACTACAGAGATTCAGAGAGATTCCTGGTATGATCACTTAAATCCCTTGAGCTTTGAAGTTAAGTACTTAATTAGAGTCAGCGGCCTTACAGCTGTCTGTCTCTTTCACAGGCAGACGTGGTGTCAGTCTTGCCATTTGACTTGTTGTACATCCAATTTGGATTCAAATCTGCCTTCAGACTCAATCGTCTACTGAAGGTAAATCTACTTAAATAATGTTTAGATGAATGAGACAATAAACAACGCCTATTAAATGTACTTTGGCTCTCATCTGGCTCACATTTCCTCACCTGTTTTCAAGATCGACACATTTTTTGAGTTCAGTGATCGTCTAGAGAGCATCATGGCCAAGGCTTACATCTGGAGGTAAGACCATCCATCCATGCATCCATCCACCTACCGATC